GCTTTGTGCGAAATTCAAAAACAAACAAACTTCAGATACCACACAATAATTGTTTTACTGGTTTCCGATATTTTCAAGTCATGAACCCCAAACACTGAGAACATGATATAGAAAATAAATTTCAATAAACGTCTGTATTTCAGTCACACTCCACAATTTGGCAGAAACTATTTATAAGTTGATTATAAAACACTCTCTTTTATGCATATATATATATATACACACACAATGTTTTTTGTTTTTTACCTTAGAGTTCGAACTGTTTGTTTGTAGTTATGAAAACAAAGTTACACAATGGACTATCTGTGCTCTGCCTACCAGGAAATGTGAGGAGACTTTAAGTTTCATGTTTTTATGTGCATGCATTTAGAACATAAAGGTGTCAGAAGTCATGGAATACGTTTACAACATACTATTCTGTAATTAAAAATCCCTGGGAACGTAGATAGATAACACATCAATGATGTTCTATTACGTTTGTTGTTTACTCAATATTTTCGCAGTTTTATCTAAACAATGTTGTAAAGACACGTGATGAAAAAACCACTGTTAGGCTATGAGTGTATTCTAGTTGGTTTATCTACGTTCAAAACTGTCGTAAGTTTTGCCGTTGTTTACGACAGTAAATCTGAAACTCTTGCTCTAAGAAAGTACAGTGTGCTGGGCATTGTTTTGAGAAGGTATAGATTTTTCTGTTAAATGCATAAACGCATGTTTCAAAAGTCTTGCGTGGTTAAATCCTAAATTTTTAAATATCGAATGTCATTGTGAAAAATACAGACTGTCCGATCTTTAAAATTCTTTTAGGATATTTCATCAAACAGTACTTATGTATAATATTAGTATCAGTGTACACAGAACTGATTAACTTATTCTATTTATTGCTTTCACTAGCTCTGATTAATCGTTTGGAGTTAGTTCTTTGCTAAGAAAGTCATTATTTAATTATATAAGAATAACACTGGAGTTCATACTTTGAACAATGAATGGGCCAGACAATAAAGTAATGAAAACACCAAAGAGCCAATTTTTTCTCCGATTCAAATAACAATATTATTTATTCGTAAGTATTGAAAGTAACGACACAATAATGACATCTTTGTATTAATCTTACGTAATCACTTAGTATTAAAATCTTTGTTTTTGGACTAAATTAATTTTGGGAGCAGAATAAAATAATTTGAGAGACTGAATGTGATCCTCAGATCATCCGTTAAACAACGCTGATCATGATTACAATTGTCAATTACTGAAATGCAAACAAAATGAAGAAAAAAAAACATTTGAAAAACTACTGCATGAGTACGAATTTGGCGCCCTCCAGTGGCACAGTGGTATGTCTGTGGACCTATAACGCTAGAAACCGGATTTCGATACCCGTGATAGGCATAGCAAAGATATTCCATTGTGTAGCTTTGTGCTTAAATCCAAACAAACAAACGAATTTGGTGATTTAAACAATACCTAATCTATTTTATTCATTCTAGCTCATGTAGAACTTTTCGAAAAAAAAAGTAGATAGTGAAAGAAACAACACTTGATTTTATTTCAAGAACATTCTGTCCTAAACTGGAGATACGACGGTTTACACACCACTTTGTTGCTATCATATTTTACTTACGCTTCACTTTCCCTTCTCATGTCCATCAACCTTATTTATTCCTATCAGGAATTTACTAATACAAATGTAAACATAACAAATAGTTGTTTATTACTAATAATAATTGACATAGATTGGCAACATATTACTTCATTCTTTCGCCTCTTTCGAGTTATCCATTCTCTCTCACATCTTCCGGTATTTTTTCTCTTCGTTAAGCTCCTATCTTTTACATTACTTTCTGAAATCCACCCCGAATAGATCCCTTACCATTTGACCTTGCCCATTTATTTTTCTGTATATCAGGTTACAAGTCGCATAATCATAGAGGGCCTCGTAATTTCCATACCTACTAAACAAGAAAGGTGGCCGCTCGCTCCAATAAATTTTTAATGAGAAAGAAAGGTCTCATTTACATACCTTATTTAAAAACGTATTAACAAACTTTTTTACCCACATCACTTCTGTTTTTCTTACATCTTTTATTATAAAAAGGCAAGACTCTAAAGAATGACGTTTAGGGACAACTTGGGACCTATCGGTCTATCTTGGCTGTTCCATCGTCAAAACTAAACTAAAACTATAAATAAATAAATTTAAAAAAATCTTAAAGCCAGCCGTTATCATTCATATACTTATCAAGCTTTCTTTAAAACTCATATAAATTTACTGCTTCCACAACATCCGAAGGCAATCCATTCCAAAGGCTAACCACCCTGTTAGAAAAATAAAACTGTCTTAGCTTACGATGACTCCTACCTTGCCAAAAATTATATTTGTGTCCCCTAGTCCTACTATTCTCATTGTTAAATATAAAAAAGATAATACATCAACGCTAACAATTCCCTTTACAATCTTAAACACCTCAATCAGACCCTCACCTAACTCTTCTTTTTTTTCGAGAGAAGACACTTTGAGAGATTTCAGCCTCTCCTTGTATGATAACCCCTCAATTCCAGGAACCATTCTAGTAACCCTTCTCTGAACCCTTTCCAACAATTCAATGTCTTTCCTGAGGTAAGGAGCCCAAAAATGAACACAATACTCCAAATGTGGCCTAACCAGTGACCTGTACAATGAAATCATAACCTTTTTAGATTTGTATTCAATATTTTTATAGATACAACCTAAAATCCTATTTGACCTACCACTAGCAACAGCACACTGCTTAATGGTTTTAGAGACTGATGAACTATTACACCAAGATCCCTTTCTTTCATGACATTTTAAGGTTATTCCCATCCAAATTATACTTATAATTCAAATTATGATAACCCACATGCACTATCTTGCATTATTATAATTA